CAGTCCTGTTCTCTCCATTCTCTCTATAGATCATGTGCAGTGACACACACAATTAGAATGGATCAACCCCAGAAGATGTTGCTGACAGAAACCATTTTCCTCACCTCTTTCTGCACCAGTGTATGCAGGACACTTTCCTGTTTTACAAATTTCTTCATTTCTCTCTATCAGCACTTTTCCCTGGAGGTTTCTGGTTTGGAACAGCTCCACACTATTTCCTTACTACTTACCCCCCCTTTTCTTTTTATATCACAAGCCATCTCTTCCATTTTCACACATAAAGATAATTGGTGCCATTTGAGAGGCAGCCACACAGTTCCTGTTGTTTTCAGAATCTAAACCTATTTCATAATCTAAATCTTGAGCTTTGTTAGTGTCCCCTACTAAAAATACGTCAAGATAACATAAGAGATTTTAAGAAACCCAGTAGTGGGTCTCCATTATCAAGAGCAACTCAAAGTCAGACATCTATCAGGAAATTACAGCCGGGCCTGTACATTTTTAGACCGAGAATATTCTGATCTATGAGTATTAGATTTACTATTTTGGGCAACTTTGGCATATCTCAAATATAGAAGTGAAATGTAACATAAAAAAAGCTTTCCTTTTTCAAGCTTTGAAGTTATTAGGCTGTGCAGTGTAAAACTTGGCATACAGTGAGTAGTAAACCTTTCCCTGATAGATGGTAACAGCTCCTCGGTGTCTCCAACTCCCACTTGAGGAGGGATTATGCACTCAATCAACCCTAATGGCTCCACTAAGACAAACCAGCCATGGTGTCTGACTGCACACACCGAGCCAGTGCCAAAGCCAATAACAAATACTTGGAATAAACACTTCAGATTCCTCTCTGCAGCCCCCAACGACCCACGGTATGAATAGTTACATTTAGATAAATACACAACCCATTACCTCAAAAACCGTGTACTTCCTGTGTAAAATCTACAGCTACAGAATATTTCTCTGTCTTTTCAAGACATCCTGTACTAGAATCCCAGAATAGCTACAGACCAAGGGAAAAAAAAAAAAAAGAAAAGAGGAAATGTTGACCTATTTAATAGGGAATAAGCCAAGACATTGAAAACCACCACATGACCAACATTATCCATAGAAATCCTCATGTCTTATCTAGATACATCAAATGCACAACACGTTATGCAGAATCTTCAGGGGTGTCTAGGGAAGAAAATTTATTTCTGCACTGCTTAATGAACCTGCACCAATTTTTTTAAAACAGTTTAAAAGGGAACTGTTGGGATAAGGGATAAAGGGAAGAAAATTAGAATGGAGAACAGTCTTCATTGCTGTATATTGTCAAGGGGTGTACTCCAAAAATTAACTGAGATGAAAAAGTGAGATGTGACATCCCAGCTACCACTGCTTACTACAGAAAGAAAAAAAAAAAAGAAAAAAGCTATTATTAAGCTATTATTATTTGAAGATAATATTCTGACAATGAATGTTCAGGATTAAGGAAAAGGAAGCTCAGAAGAAAATGGAAGTACAGCAGGAAACACCTGGAAACTACCTTGAGAACATTGCATTAGGCTCACTGCAATACAGCTAATCTCACATAACATCAAATTCATTAGCTCAGGAGAACCACCTGAGTAGCCTTCACACCTCTCCACCTTTGCTCTCCATTGTTACCTGAATAAGAAAACCTTCAGAAAACCTGTAGTATAACCAGGATAAAGGATACACTCAACAACATTGCCTGGTCCAGACAGGCGAGTGGAATTAGCCATAATCATTCCTGTACTGCACAAAATCATTACCTGATTTAGATTTTCTTTGCAAAATGCTAAGAAATTAGTCCAATTAGATACTTGTTGACAATCACACACTCCTGAAGTTCTCCCTTTTCTCGTGTGCATTCAGTGCATTCCCCAGAGCTGGAACCAATTATGTTCACAAGTACCAGTGCTTAGAAACCATTTCTGTAAACTAAGATATGAGCTAGTTCAAGTTCCTGACTGTAAAAGTAATGAGTTTACAATTCCAGCTCTGTTTCACACAAGAAACCTTTGTAAGGCACCTGTAAAGCCTCATTCACTGAGGTTTTTATGATGCCAAGTACTCATCGCCTCTTTAACAATTCAAAGTCAACAATAATATTCTTGAACATCCTTAACACACATCAACTTTCTATAACAGCAACTCTAAATTCTCCTGTTCAAAGTGAAAACTTTAGGATTTACTTCACTGGAGACAAGACTTCAGCCTGCAAAGTGGCACAAATGTACACGGAAAATGGAATATATCAAGAGTGAACAAGAAATGTAATTCTAAAGTTAACATTAAAATTAGCAGGAATTAGCTCAAGCTAAATAACTCTGATTATTCAGCCTTCCTCCCAGGCAGAGGTTTGGTCCCATTAACTTTAGTACATGACTCTAGGCAATGATCTGTCTCTATGTAAAGTCAGTAGTGTTTGCCATGGCCACAAACAAAGTTACAGCAAGTCCACGCTCAGAAAAAAGAGGTTCATAAATCAAAAAGATTCTTTCTGTGTCTCTCATTATCTCAGAAGGCTTTGCATGAGCCAGCATTCCATAGTACTCCTCCTGGTTTCTACTCCAAATTCTGGTGACTTTGCAAGCAAAAAGCCAAGGCCTTATATACGTATGTAAGTGTTTTATTGGTTGCTTGTGTGCCTCAGGTCTCTTAGGGTATGTTAGTACTTATTATGTTATACAGACCATCATAAAATCAAGTGTTACACATTACATTTTACAATTAAGTAGATTAAGATTATAATCTTGATTTGGAATCTCTTCTGACACTGCAAGAGAAAAAAAAAATATGTAACATGATTGCCTGGTTTTAAGAAACAGGTGGCTTCTTAGGGTAAAATAAGCTTAGAGCTTAAATGTTTTAGGCAAATTAGTAGGACAAAATTGTCTATACTCTTCCCCCCCCGAGTTCTGTAGATGGTCTGAAAACACTTTTCTCAGAAAGGTCAAATATTTCATTATAGAAACACAATAAATTGACTATGGAATACTAAAAATAATACTCCCTTTTATAGTTAGTCTGAAAGTGTCAGATCACAGTATTCTGATATGCTATCACCTTTAACTGGAGACCAAATCTCTAGAAATCATTTAAAGAGACAAAGAAAAGGCTCCCAAGTACCTTTACAATCTTTTCACAAGAATCCTCCAGTTCTAAAGAGACGTGAGGATAAAACACTGACCCACAATTCCATCAAGGAAACCCTTATCATTCCCTCACAGCTCATGGCTGTCTAAGAAATAACTCTGTACATCCCTCTCTCTCCTACCCACAGTTCTTTCAATGAAAAGCAGTGCTTTAAAATACAATGCAATTTTCTTCCTCTGCGCTTAAAGCTCCCAAAGGTAGAACACTAGATTACAAGTTTAGTGACACAAAGTTTGGAAGCACCTTTTAGCCACTTAGAAATAGCTCACAAGTTGCATGAGGGAAAGTTACTCAGTTTTCCTGGTATGTTGAAGAAAAGCACTATGGAGCTCTGTCACCAGCACCTCCCTGTCTCCTGCACAGTAAAACCACCTGTAATGTCATCCTCAGATCAGGCTGAAGGCTGGATTTTATGTTACAAAAAAACTCCTGCACATCACACAAGGCATCCAGCTTGGGAACAAATGTTTGCCAATTCATTCAGTGCAACATGGCTGAGAACCCAAACATGACACTGAGAAATTAAATATTTCAGAAGAATGATATTAAAGTTACTGATAAGTTTCCAAATATTATTTTCAAATGCATGATTACAACTGCAGCAATAAGCCTAAAATCACATTTTTATTTAGAAAGAAGTTTCCTTAAAATCTCTTAAAACGTAGTGGAAATTTCGCTTCAAACAAACTTACATTCACTAACATTTCACAAAAGCATTTATTTTGGGTCACTTGCTGCTACCTTGCTTCAGTGTCTTTATTTTGGCTTTCTTTAATATGTACCCTAGGAGCATTAGACCAAATTATGTATCCTTAACCAAGTAAAATGCAAATTAAGATAAAAACTTCAAAACTTGACCCCAAACATTTCCAAATAAGAACAGTCAATGTTAGAAAAGTTTCATCTAAGCCAAGAACAGCTTCTCCTGAAGTATGAATCTGAGATTTCTCCAATTTTTTCCACACCTCATGAGTGTCCCAGATGATGAAAGTGAAACACAGAAAGTGTCAAGTTATTATGTTCTGAACAAGTTCAGTATTCGAGCAAGTCAGTTGCAAGTATTTAGATAAGAAAAACAAACATCCTGGGAAAATTAAACCTGTAAAATCATCAACTCAGTCATCACCATCCAAAATAATGTCAGGCTACAAAGAAACCCAGTAAGTTTTGAACACACACAGAAGTCAAAGCCTCTTTTTTTGTTTTTAATAGGAATAGCACTGCTAAGACAAAAATGCACCTTTTTTTTATTTTTTTTAATATGGTACAAGCAAAATTGAACTCTGATGGGCACAGAGCCAGGGTAAAGCCCAGACCTGGGCTAAAGCGTCAGGCCTGGGTTCAGCCCTAGAGTCGGGTTAAAGCCCCAGAGTCGGGTTAAAGCCCCAGAGTCGGG